CCAAGGGATTTCATCCAGTGTTTGAGAGCCCCTCGCACACCCTTACCTAATAGACCAAAGGGAGGGATTCCTATCGGTGCTAACAGAATTGGAGAAGATTATAACAGTCCAAGAAATGAATGGAAGACAGAAAGTAGACCCAGAAAGGACTGACTGTTCACAAAATTCAACAATAAATGGGCTGTGGAAAAGGAGTGATGGCTTGAGAAAAATAGGACTGTGAAGATTTTTTAAAGATAAGGGGTGAGTTGGCCATATTTATCAAACAAAGAAAGGAAGAGACAGAAGTAGCTAGGAAGAACTTTCGACTCTGGTCCTGTACCTGGGAGGTGCTCTGTGTCAGAATCATATTCTCTCTCATTGCCCCAGTGACTGCTCCCTTTGGGTGTTTTTTCCTTTCACTCTCCCTCTGATTAACCAGTCTCTACTTCTGTGACGCTACCAGTCTACAGGAGACGTCAGAGACTCCTTGTGAGGACAAGATGGAAAACCTTGCTCACCGGCTTCTGTAGGGATGTGGGGGCATGGGCTCTATCCTTCCAGGCTCTGTCTCCCTGGGCACCTCCCTGCTCTGCCCAGCTTTCACCCACTTGGCTGGCTAGGAGGACCTGGGTTCCAAGCCACCCACACTGGTCTGTTTTGTCCCTGATAAAATGCAAGGATCACGAGGTCCTGGCAAGATCCCCAGAAAGCTGTAGTTCTTGGTACTGTTTTGGGCTGGTGTGGGGGCTGTGAGGTCCCGTGGGGCAGGAGGAAGCCGTGGGAAGCTCCTCCCTCTCTGAGATCACCCCATTTCCAAAGTGACTCTGTGGTCAGATAGTTTGGGATTTTCTCCAAGGCAGTCTTATCAGTCCATCCAAATAGTGAGAGTAATGAATAATAGAGGAGGAAGGGGGCAGGGGGGCCAGGCAGTGCTCCTGCGGGCTCCAGCCTTCTAAAGTTCTCCCTCCATCCAGGCTCCCTCTTGTCTCTCTGCTGAGGCACTGCAGCACCTCTGAGCTGAACTTGCTGTTGCCAGGCTCTGTCCCTGACATTCTATCCCAGCCCCAACTTGTCCCCAACATCTCTTTCTACACCCTAGATCTGGTCCTCGCACATTCCTGCTTTATAAGGTTCCCTGCCTCCTCCTGAACAGAATCCTCCATCCTTAGCACAGCATGCGAGGCTTTTCCTGATTTGAACCCTGCCCAGGGCAGTTCTCACCAGAACCATCCTGCAGCCATTCCACATTGTTCTTGTATTCATTCATTCATTCATTCATTTGTGTCTTCACAAGATGATTCTCAGGGTCTACTCTGAGTATTGCTAAGCTGGGATTGCTGGGAGCCCCACCCCCTGGGCAGTGCACACTTCTTGCTCACCCTAAACACACTCACTGCCTTTTAGGGCTTCAATGCCTTCTCACATGCCCTTTTCTCAGCCTGTGAGGCTCCTCCATGAGATAATTCCTGGATCTTCCTTTCAGATATCACTCCTTCCTCCAAGCTCTATGACTTTTTTACAAATTTTCATCAAAGTTATCTATGTATTGTGTTAGTCCCCCTTTTAGAAAAATAACAATCTTGGTTACCATTTCAGTAAACTTCTAACAGGCATAAATCTCAGTGTACTCTCCCAGGTGCTTGCTTCATCCTCTCTTATCTGATGAGCGAGGCTTTTCAGTGTGGATGTCTGTTCCCAGTCTTCAAAGCTAGAGAGGCCTCCTTCTCTCCATCTGGGACCGATACTGAGACAGAAAGGAAGGGGGCAGGGCACAGCCATTAAAGGAATGACACAGCAATTAGCACAAGATGGCGAAAAAAATCCCAATAGACCTGGAGACCGAAGATGGCGGGAGGTTGGACCTCCAGTGGATCTTGAGCTACACTGTACACATTGTAATGTATTAGCATGATGAATGGCACCCACGGGCACCATGACAGTTCCGAGGCTAACCATGAAAGGTCAAAAAGAGGGCCGTGGCCCAATTGCTGGGAATCCCCAACCCCTTCCCCAAAGCAATTGGAATAATCCTCTCACTTGTTAGCATATAAAAACCAGTGCACTGGCTAGAGGTCTCTCTCTCTCTCTCTCTCCCCACCCCCCCCCCCCACCTTGTGAGACCGCCTGCACTCTGTCTATGGAGTGTGTATCTCCTTATACTCTAATCACCCCCCTCCACTCCACCTCTTAGCCTTTCTCTTCTGAGATGGCCTACACTCTAGTGTGCACCTCTGTAAATAAATCTACTTTCACTCACTTACTTACTTGCTCTTGAATTCTTTCTGTTGCCAAAGAACTGGCCTCTGTACCCCGATAGCCGAAATGAGAGTCAGAGGCAGAGTTTTGGGAGGATAGAAAAGAACAGCTTTATTGCTTTGCCTGACAAAGGGAGTCACAGCAGGCTAATGCCTTTAAGACTGTGAGTCCCTCTTGAGGTTGGGGTCTTGAAGTTTTATAGAAAAACCGGATGGAATAGAAAAGGTGATAACAATCAGGCTGTTTTATAAGATGTTACCTTCTTTTCGTCTTGATAAGAACTTGCTGTTGTAATGGAGGACCTGAGGAGGGTCTGCCCGTTTTCTTGAGGTTCAGTCCATGACCTTCTTTAAAGAACTCTAGGGTGAAAGGATAAGTTATTCTAAGAAAAGAATGCACAGAGAGGGGAACATGTTAGTCATAAGATCAGTTTAGGTAGAAACACAGGCTTGAACAACTCAATAGCCATCTTGTTATTTTTCATCTTGTTAGTTTCATTTCCTATGCAAAGCCAGAAACCTTCACCTGGCAGGGTGCTTCCCAGGGACTCGACCGAGACCTGGGACTTGACCATCCTCTCACGTGCCCTACATTTTCCTGTATCAATACCAGCATGATATGACAGTCCTAGAGAGGAGGCTGACCACTGTGGGGATGACATGAAGGAGACCCAGTGTGGCCCTCCACTGCCCTGCTCCCTGCAACCAGTTGGCCAGAGATCTTCCAGGTACAGGAGTGAAGGGGGCAGGTACAACCCTTGAAGGAATGACACAGCCAGTTGAGGACAGGACAAACTGGTTAGAACAAAGATGGCAGAAGATTTGACTATCAGTAGACCTTGGGGCTCAGGCACACTCACACATGCTGTGACAGTTCCTAGGCTGACCATAAAAAGTAAATAGGTAGAGGGGGCAGATTCCTGGAAATCCTCTCCCCTTCCCAAAAGTAGTTGGAATAACCCTCCTATATACTCACGAGTATATAAAATTAGTGAGTCCGTAAAACCTAACAGCTCTGCACCTCGTGGTCGCTCTCTATTGCCTTCTTTACTTTAAACTAAACATCTCCACCCCTCTCTGTCTCTCTCCCTCTCACCTTTCTGAGATGGCCCACATTCTACCTTTGGAGTGTGTATCTCCTAAGCTGTTTTCCCTTCGGAGTGAGACCAACTGCACTCTGTCTGTAGAGTGTGTATCTCTCTAAATAAATTTGCTTTCACTTTACTGTGCCTTGCTCTTGAATGCTTTCTTGTGCTAGGCAAGAACCTATTCTCCCACAACATTCCTACCCCCTGCTGCGTCAAGCTGCTCTCCAGCAGTTTCTACAATGCTTCCTTCCCACTGACCTCATTAGGAGAGAGGCAGTGTGATGTCTGCGTCACTTGCTAACCATGCGTATTTGGCTATTTCATCTTTCTTAAACCGCCATCTCTCCATGTTTAAGTTAGACAGTGTGGATCCTGTTCATCTCACAGGGTTGGGGTGAGAAGCTAGTGAGCAGAGTGTATCACAACTCAGGGACCTGGAAATCATCCCACTGAAATATGAGGGCCCCTTATTCACTCCTAACTCAGCCCCACAGCCGTCCTCACCCTCTACCTCCCTCTGTTCATCTTCACTACTAACGGGGAGCAGAATTTGCCACCCCGAAATGTCTCTGGCATAAGGATCATTTTAAGCTGATTATTTTTAAGCAACTGCAGACACAGGAAAAGCTCAGAAAACTGAGCAAAAGTTACTCTTTCATAAGAGACATTCAAACATTTAAGGAAAATCTCTGTGTATAAGGGTTATCTCCCTCAATGTACCAGGAAAAAAAGGATGACCTTACCTCTAGAAACTCTTGTACAGAAGGCAAAGATTTAAGTCTGCATAACAATCTTACCTTTGATTACTGTGCTTTTCCTGGTAACCTCCCAAAACTATCTCTCCACCCCCAACATCTTTTGTTGTCTAAGCTAAGAATGGTGTTTAAGGTGAGGGCTTCCACCATGTTGGGAATGCTGTTTTCCTGGGTGTCGCCCATGTATAGAGGAGGTATTCATATTATTAAATTTTGTTTGTTTGTTTTTCTCCTGTTACTCTGTCTTATATCAATTTAATTATTAGATCAGCCAAAGACTCTAGAAGGGTAGAGGAAAAGCTTTTCCTCCCCAACAGTAGGCATACTTGGCAGGTTAAACTTCACTGGATGAACACTGCTTGCTCCAGGACTTCTGGGACAGTCCTAAGACTGCCATCAAAAGCTGGTAGAACATAAAGGAAAGTTTTATTCTTTGATCAAAGAATGGAGAGGTGCTAGCTTGTGTTCTAGAACCCCCGCTGAGCTGAGGTGTTGGTGCAGCCATCTGGCACCAGGAACTCTGGTCTGAAGCTCTGGGGACAAGGCCTCTGCACACGGTACCCTGTGAGCAAGTGACACTAGACTAAGCAAAAAGGAAAAGGAAAAAAAAAGATTAGACTTTATTTTGTTACCCAGGTTCTAGTTTTATTTCCTGAGAATTGTTAACAGGCTTTGTTGGAGACAGAGGAAGAGAGTAAATAAAAAATAACTTCTAAGCTTTAAAAAGAAAAAAAAAAGCTGGCAGAATGTAAGAATTCTTACCACATCAGTCTTGAAGATCTCTGCCTGCAGAGTCTGATGGAAGTGAGCGTGATGAGGTTCCTCTTCTTTATGTAAATTTAGGTTAGCAAGAGAAAATATTTTTGGAATTAAATCCCTGGTGCTAGTGAGTTTGGTAAAAATTTGTTATGAATACTCATTTCCTGTTGACCCCTTTCCTCTCAGAGATGATCATTGTTTTCTTTTGTCTCCATCATCTATGTCCTGAGAGCTTGGCTTTTTGATCAGTGAGAATATTCTCTCAGGACTCTGCCAACAGGAGGGTGCACGGACCACCATGCACCTGGTGGGCTGCCATATATGCTATGGAGCCAATAAGCCAGTTGGTCAGAAGCTCAGGTAACAACCCAGGCTTGCAGCTGACCTCGCAATATTCTTTGTCCACTGTACCAGCTCTCAGGGGATTTTGTCATACAGGGTCCTGGTCTATATGAGGATTTTGTCCTCTCAACCTTTGTTGCTTTGTTAGTGCTGGAAAAATCCCTTTCCAGTAGTGCCTGCCTGATGTCACAGATTAGCAGTTCTTTAACTAGGGGCACCCCACTTTCTCTTGGGCAACTGGAGGTACAGTTTTCACCACACCATTCTTACCAGCTGTAGCAAAAAAGGCCTTTGACTTCTTAGACTATCTTTGAGAGTGAACTTGATGGATCGTGTGAGGGCTGCCTTTTTTTTTTTCTTCACTCTCTTATAGAACGTCTCTTGCATCCTTTGTTAAGCCATAAAAAGGCTTATTGCTTTGAGTTGCTATTTGAATTAGCGCTATTTAAAAGAAAGAAAAAACTGTTTTGGAGGGCTCTTATCCTAAACAGTTGTCTCATTAGTACCTCTGGAAAGACCAAGTTAAAAAATGGATACAAAGAAATATAATGACTAGCCTTAGTGACTCCCTTAACAAAATGACAGGACAAAAATTACACTTGGAACACAAATTAATCTCCACATCCAAAGAGCATGCCATCTTCTGGCACACCTGCTTGTTTTGCGTCTAAGAACTAGGGTCCTAGAAGTTGTAGATATCTACAAAAATGGGAAAATCTTACTAAGCTTGTGTATGTCCTGGGGACTTGGCTAACTGTCAGGTTGGGAGCTCCAAAATAGGGCTGGACAGAAATGTGGGTTGCACCACATTTGCAGCTAGAAATGGCTGCACAGAAATTGTAGGTTAAACTCTATCTGTGGCTAGAGTCCTACCAAATTGCTGCTAGCCCTCAGGGAAATTACAGCCTAGAATTACAATGGCCGTTATCCCAATAAGATCAGATCATCTGGGAAGTGCACTTAAAAGCAAGGGCTTCCAAATCAAACAGAATGGGATATCCATTTTAATTGGTATGCGGAAGCCTCCCAAAATAGCTTCACTGAAAGATTTGTTGTAAAAGGCTAAGGAAAAAAGTAAAGATAAGAGGTACCTAAAGCAAAAGACTGTAAGATTGACAATTCCTACTGCTCCTCTCTACCCTCCTTTATTTGAGTACTCATTTTAGTCACCTTTTGTCTGAGATGCCTTTCCACTCTGAATAGACTATTAAACAATTATCTTTTAAAACAAAACCGATGCAGGTAAACAGATGTGGGGCATGAGGAGGCCTGTGTCCCAGGTCTTGGTGGAGCCCCTGGGATGTGCCCCTCCAGGTGTGGATCCTTGGCTTCATTCAGAAAAGAATTCAAGTGCAAGCT